CCTGTAAAGGAGGCGATGGAGATTTTGCAGTGATATATTTGGGTGGCGCATTGGTTGCAGGCACATGAAACATTATCTGCACTGACACAAGGACCAAAGCGTGATAGCATTTTCTTTCAGTATAATTAGATTCATGCTTCAAATGTTTCAAGAAGCTGCTTAATGGCTTCAGCTTAATTGCTTAATATGTTTTTCATGCTAATTCATTTTGGACAGAAAGTGTATGTTACAAAGAGCGTAGATTTTCTAGAAACTCTGAGTTTCTTTGGATTAGTTTTGACAAGTATTGTAATGGTCTGCAGTTTATTCATTATCCATAGACGGTTCAGCATTCACGCAAGCATTGAGAGAGAGAATTATGTCCTCGTTAACTTTCTAACACTATCTCTAAGGAGATTATGCCTCATCATTAAAAGTGTGAACAGCAAGGTTTTTGTATGAATAAAAATACAAGCTTTTCATTTAGTTTGTATCATTCATTTATTTGCAAATATTAACTACAGATGACTACAGCAAAGTAAAGGACAGTTCACCCTGACTTCAGGGCAGCTGAAATAAATCTCTGGGACGGTAGTGAAAAAAACTATTCTGTGGCCTCGTTCCTCAGTGTCAGCCGATATATACCTCACTGACAATTGGTATTAGCTGAAAACCATTTGGGAATAAGGTTTCTTTCATCAAGGACATTCTTCTCTCTTACATCTCCAAAGTGCCTTACAAAAAGATGTGAGTAATGTTAACAGTGTGTGAGTTGTGGAAAGGGTAGATAGACAAGCGTGATGGGTAGTTGATTATGCATGGACAATCAAAGCTTAATGTTGCAGCCGCACAGCTTCAGTCCACTGATTCTTTCTACCTGTATAATCGTCAGCAGTCCTGCGGGTTGGAGAGAAAATGAGCCGTTGAGTGAGAAAATCACTATCTCTGCTGCTAGTATCATTTTAAAAGGGACGTTAGTCTTCAATTTGGTAAACTGGTAGTGATGCTAGGTAGACGGACAGCTGTTTGCTGGCAATCTTTCCATATTCAACAGTTGCCAAGTATTTGTATCCGTTTTCAGTGTAGTTTTTATCGGTATCGGTGTGGCCTGATTGGATTCTGAAGCGTTTTAATCAAGCCCCGAATACGGGCTGGTCAGTGAAAAGCCAGCGTTCCCACAAGACCCGCAGTCTGGACGCATCGGCTGGCTCGTTCCTACCTATGACGCCACCGTTCAATGGTCAACTGCCCATCAAGCACTGTTCGAGATCAATCACCATTTCCATCCGGACGAACCCCAGGATGGTGTCCAAGAAGGACAATCACTCCCATGAGCCCAGATCAAATCACCCCCGTCTCACACACAGTGCATTACTTAGGACCAGAGAGCCAGTTGACAAGGGAGTGGTTAAGATTATTGCTTTATTGGCTGCAATACGATGCCATTTGAGACGCATCACAAGTAGCCGAGCTTTAAAAGCACAGTGGCTCTCAGATTCCCACTTGAAAACGTGCTATCAGGCCGGTCCAGCCAGCTATGCGGCGCCTGTGCTGGTCTTGGCACTGGCACCAGGCTGGAACTGGGCCGGGCCTGGGGCCGACTACACATGAAAAACACAGCGCCCATATCCTGAGAGGAAATACAATCCCTCGCTCCTTCAACGACCCCATCCCCCAGCGTCTGCTTCACTGGCCAGGGCCTGGTTCGTGTCTAGTGAGAAGGGTGCTTGGGATTGTGGGTATAAGTGCCGGAGTACATGTGACTGTTTATGTTATGTGAGGGCAGCGGGCATTAGGGATTATGGGTCACTGTGGAAATGCAGTTGAAAGGGGAGGTCTTGCGCCTGCATAACTTCCACGGCTTTTGATAAACACCGACCACTTTTCTTGTCTGTGTGCATTTTCTTGTTCGCAGTTCGAAGGTATATCATCCCGTCAAAGGGGATTTCTGTGCAGCTCTTAATGTGTCGTCGCTAAGGCCTCACACTGCTGTTATGTGGAAAAGCACGGCTGAAAGTGATGACACGGGATCATTTTCGTTTCACCCTGCAGCCCCGGCCCGACCCGGGGGCTGGATCATAATAATAGCTCTGTGTGACAGCCGTGCTGCACCACTCTGAACAAATGCTAGCTGACAGTTGCTCCTACGTGAGTATCGCTGGGCTGCAGCTCCATTGTACTGAAGGTAACAACACCACTGAATGGTACGGAGCCAGAGCTGGCGGTGCTACGACCAGGAGCAACACGCGCTATCAATAATGTAGCTGGGTTACGGCATTTGGGAAAGGGGGAAGCGGAGAGCGGTCGATTCAAAATACATGCATGTATATATAGAACTAAAAGCAACATGACTTTGTGGCATATGTTTCGACCGCATGTTATCAGGGACAATGTTCTAAACCTGCCTTGAATATGAGCTGACCAATCCGATGACACGTTGAGCCAGGTGTTGAGATGGCCGTACACCCCCATCAGGACAAGGGGATTCCCCGAAGCTTCAAAGCTTGCGATCCGGTTCCCCACAGGCAGGGTCCTTGTTTGTAATGGCCATTTTGTGGTTGCGAGGGACACGGGAGGGTTGAGTATCAGACCGCCTGGCCAAACAGTCACCCCACTGTTCTCGAGCAGAGAACACACATAGAAGGCCTCAATTAGTTTCCCCCCCCCTTGGTAATCTCCGTCCCCTGTCACATGATCTGGGCTGTTTGTAATAACACACAGGGGGCCGGGGCCGGACCGGTCAGGAAATGAGATGATCCACGGATGACAGCTAAGGCACACAGAAGCCACTTATCTGTTATTACTATGCTCCAAAAACTCTTGCCTGTGCGTGGGCTGTGTGCGTGTGTGTGTGTGTGTGTGTGTGTGCGTGTGTGTGTGCCTGCGAATGCATGTGTTTACACATGATTGCAAGGATGCACACGAAATGAAGTGTGCTATCAAAACAAATCAAATAGATTAAAAGATTTGGAAGACAGGAAAGGTTAATCAAAATTTGATGTGTGTGTCAACAATGCTGCCGGTTTGCACAAGACTGAACCACAATCACAACCCGTTGGGTCCACCGTGATTCGGGAGTGTATGCAGGTTTTAGAAGCAGCCTGCTGTTAAGAATGAGCAATCCTTTTCCACTATAATAGGCCTCTGTCTGCCCACCGGAGCTCCAGCATCTCAAATAATCTGCCTCGACATCACCTGTGTCATGTTCTCTGTCAGTGATGTGGATACCCTGCTCCGCCCCGTACCGCTCTCGTTCCTTCACTCTCCCCCTGAATGTTCAGGCACTATCAGTCATGGAGTGTAGACACAGATCTCCATAAAAAAGCAAGGTAGGGAAAAAACCTCAGGCTCAGTTCAAAGGCTGAGAGCCCCTCTCTCTCTCTCTCTCTCCCTCTCTCTCCGGCTCTCGAGTCGGAGATCAAAGCTAAACGCTGTGCAACAAATGTGTGTTTCTGTCATTGGCGATTTGTCTGTGTGTTTGATCAGCGGGCTTCCTTATCTCGCCGCTTCACTCCACTGCTAATATGCAGTAATGGACTGCCTTTCATGAGACAAGAGACGGGATCTTGACGTGAAGGATGTGACTGAGGTGAACGGAGCGGAGGGGGAGTCACTTTGCAGATTCCTGAAAACGCGACAGTACATGCATGTCCACGCAGGTACATTAGAAATAATTAATGTCCACCTGTAATCCTTCTGACGTTACTAAAGCTGTCCGGTAACATGTACTTTTATGATGAAGGCTACTTTGACTTTATTTAAAAACGAGATACGCTTTTGCCCACATAACAATCTCGAGCACTGATTGCCTGTTTCTCTCCCTCTGTCTCACCCAGAGCTTTGCATACATTACGGCAGCAGGCACATACGAGCAAAAACGGCCTTTGACCTTTTCAATGTTAAAAAACGAGCTGTGGTTTTGTAAAACGATATCATTTCCCACCGGATGGGCTGAAAGGCTCGTTCATTCTGTCACTTCTGCCTTTGGTCTGGCAAAGGAGGAAATAGCTTGGCTTCTCCAGTCGCTGTGTAAATACTAGAAGAAGTGCGCCACTGTGCTTCAGCAAAGCACAGGATGGTGTTTGTACAGCGCTTGCTTAACTTCACGGGCGCGCTCGGCTAATCCCCACAGAGACGTTTTCCCCCATCTCAAAAAATGAAATGCTTTTTGACGGTTGGAAATTTCGGAAATTTCAGTGGTGTTTGATTCCTGGCACAGGAAGGTGTCTCTGCTGAGTTGTCAAATTGCTAACACGGTGGGTCTAATTAGAAAGGTCAGATATAGCTATTGCAGTAGTTTTTTTCTGCGTGTGTGTGTGATTTTGAGGTTTAGGAGAACTGCTCTATCTGTGGGCCGTTCCTGAAAGCACCCTGCTGATAAAAATCCTTCCATTAAAAAGCTGTTTTTAAGACACTGGACTATTATCCCAAATCCCGGCCTCGACTGACCAATCACCTTCCCAAGGCAGGAAGGCTCCAATGACACCAGCTGGCTGGCTTGAGTGCAGACCTACGGGGTATCGGGACCCTCGGAGACCGCCTCCTTCCTCTCCTGCCAGCTCCGCCTCTCGCCGCGCACAGCTGGACAGGAACTAGATTAATGTTGTTCCACCGTTGAAGGAGTAAAAGATTGGTTTGTTGTTGTTGAAGGAAAGAGACAATAAAGAGCCAGATCTAAATTTGACTGCCTGGTTTGTCATTGCCGGTTAATTACAAATGGTCTGTTTTAGCCTCCTCATCGTCACCCGCCCGTGCTTTGTCTCCTTTTAGCTTTTCACTTACAACCATCAATCCGCATTTTAATATGATGTTAAATTTGTCATGTTAATTATAACTTTTTGTTCGTATGTATGTTTTTTTGAAATTGTGTCATCTTCATTTTAGGCACAGTAAAATTTAGAAAACCCATGCTGATTTTTATACATGATAAAAAAAGCTTATAAATGCATTTGTAATAGAAATCTCGATCAGGGACTATTCCTTTCTTAACTGAACAACATTTTTTCTTTCCTCTTTTACAGATGGATGCTGAGTCTGAGCTACGTGAAACACAGGGATAAGATCTGCAGATATGAAAGCAGCCTAATGGCAGACTGGAGAATTGAGTATGAAGCGGTGGCATAAGCGGGCATACATTATCCTTTAGATACCCTCAGTACTCACACAGCAGAAAATAATGTACTGCATTATATAAGACTTAAATGTATCTCACAAGACGAGCATTTTGTTTCCCCCCAGTGTGAATAATGACCTGCACTTTAGGTCTCACAACATCAGAGAGGAATAACTATTTATCTATCATTTACGGGTATGAAGAGAAACCGTAATCACATGTGTGTCTGCTTCCTGCAGGCGAGGGGGGCAGGCTGGGTGAGGGTCCCGGAGGGGATAGGGTAACAGGTGGGCCGAATGCCATTCACAAGGGTCAGACCGCACAATGCCAGCTTCTCCCTTTGATGCTGATACCATCTTCTGTGTGTCTGCTCGGCCCGGGTCCCTATTTCACCGCTCAGCGACTCTACATCCACTTGCCTCCGATTGTGTCGGCGGAACAGCCCCCGGATCCAATAACGCAGTCCCGCTGTAAGGAAATTACCCGTTTTAATAATGGCCGTCAACACATGCCCTGTGGATAGAATATGAAATATATATATATAATATTCAGAATCCAAGTGTGTTTGTGTAGGTGAGCAGCATCAAATCCCATCAGTGAGTTTTATCAGAGCCTTTAAAATGTACTTAATTAACATTTTTCTATTGTGAGAGGGCTTTTCGTTTTGTATTGCCCACGTAAACTAAACTCTTTTGGAGTAGATCAGAGAATATTGACATTTTATTCTGGTCAATTTAAAGGCACTTTAACACAAAATATCTCTAGATCACCTTAAAATGAAACAAGGGGGATATTCAGAGCATTAATATAGCAGCAAACCACTATTTTCTATGTAAACGTATAGTAGAGTAACATTTAATGTCACTTGTAACATCACTGTTAGCAACTGGTGAGAGCCATAGAGCGGCAAACCCAACGCTCCCAATCTCATAAATAGCACCTTTAACACGGAGTACGTCCTCATAAGAGCCACACGACTCCACACACGTCCCCCATGAGTACGCTAAGCCGGCACCACCAGTAATGTGTTTGTATGCAGAACAAATAGGATTTAATCCCCGAAGCTGTTAGACTTGTGAGCATCCACAGTACATGAAGGGATCAGCATTCCTTGTGTATAGCATTATAAATCAGCTTGCACTTTTGACCCATCACACTCTCTGGTCTATGTCAATTTAAAAATTGTGCTTTTTATTTTTTTTTGCGTGTACGTGTGCATGTGTGTAAATTCATTGTATGTGTATTTCTGTGCGGTTGGCTGCCTTGGATTTAATTTAGAAACTAAATTATGTGAGCGATGACCATTTTGTCATTTCCCCGAATCCCTCGGCTTTTGTTTTGTGCACAGAAAACACATTAGCCGACTATCTTCAATGTGGTTTGACATGAAATCCAGGCGACAGTGTAACAACAGCATAACCACAAGAAAGAAAACAAACCATTTGTTGCAAAGATGCAACTCGATATCCGCAGAAACGTCTCGCATTTTCATTGGCTTAGTGGACCAATGGCAGCCATCTATAGGCGCACGGGACCATAACATAGAGACGAGGAACTGAGAGGAAAGACCACGGGAGGAGTTGATGAGTCATTGATGAGACATACATTATTAATGAGCATCATGATTGCAGAACAAAGATTGGAAATACGCAATGCCATCTGGACTACGAGTACGATTTGTCAAAACAAAAGGGAAAAATTGAATTTTGATTAAGTTTATTACTGGGTCAAGATCTAATTCATACAGCCACTCGTTGCCGTTTTCCCGACTGTGCTTGCGGTCCAGAAAGTGAATTATCATGTTGAAAGGTCATGGGCATCCTCACATTCTGAGCACTTCAGTGCAGTCATTTACAATATTATGATAATGTGCTTCGCCTTTATTCGATTGTAAAAGTTTAATTGCATTGGATTGGATCCACGGGAACATTGGAATAGCGTATGCTGTCTTTAATAATCGTACTTTCTAGTGCGATCACAAAGGGCCGGCCAGTGAGTTTCCCCGGGCAGCATGTGGAAAGGTTGTGCAGCGGCTACTAGCTTTTAAGTAAATTATAAGCTAGGGGTGATGGCCAAAATAAGTCATTCTATGATCAAAGCTTATGCTGATCCATTTCTATAGCATTTGGGGCCTCACCTCACGTTAGGAACCAATGCTCCAGCCTCCTTTACTTGTCCTACTAGATTGTGGTTTCCGTCTCTGCAGCCCTACGGTCTGTTATAAGGCCTCCCTAAAGCCTAGTTTATGCTTCTGCGTTTTCAGAGCGACGCAGACGCAAGACCCGCTTGCGTGTCCCTTGAGTCCCTTTTCGCACCTCCTTGCGTCCTTGCGTGTGTCGAGCCATTTTTCTAGGCTTGCGTCGCTTTTCGTAAATATGACCGCTTATACAAGCCGTCATTGGCGGCTTGTAGAAGCGTGTTGGATTCACGGAGGGAGATCGCCGCAAACGCCGGTTTGCCGGTCGAGAGGTGCACGAAGTTGTGGAGGAAAATACGGGACAAATGTGTCCGCGATGGAAAGCAGCCGTGGCGATGCACGGGGCAATAAAGTCTATGATACGTAAATAAACATACCAACGGCTTCCACACACAAAGACGTGACTCTCCAGCTCGTCTTCAACAGAAACACGTTACTCCGCCTGTTGTTCTGGCGCTGAATTGCTCTGCAACACACGCAGAACCATGAATTGAAACGAGTGCGTCGACGCAACGACGCAGAAGCCCGCGCCGGCCTTTAGGCTCGCCTGTGCAGTAGCAGCAGGGGGCTCGTATCACTCCTTGCTGCTCGAGCAGGTGTTTTACTGCTGTGGGAGGACTGGCACACGCCCAGAGATCTTCAGGGAGAGAAAGAGGGGAAAGTGAGGGATTCTGTTCTGCACCGGGTCAGAGGAATGCCTAACTGTAATCATCTGTGATGGTATAATCGTAGCTCAGTCAAACTACTCCAGGCTGATAAATCCCCCCTCTCGTACCGCTGTGCGGTGCACACGCTCGCGCTCTCTCTCTCTCTGATATGAGTGAAACTGGCAATCTGACTTTAAAGAGCCACGTCTCAGCTCCGTCTGAAGAGTCTTTATCATTCCAAGAGTTTCCTTTTCCCAAGCTTATCTAGGAGCGCTCTGCTCATTTTAATCTGCGTCTGTGTATGAAGAGTGTCCCATCGGGGCTGCCATACACTGCAAGATTAATGAACCCAATTTGCAAAAGTGACCTTTTGGCTACTAAAGCACTGCCGCTGCTAAGCTTCTTAATGCCTGCTTTAAAAAAAAATGTTGTTGTAGAGAGCAACTCTTTGGATAAGAGCAAGGAAAATAAGCAGATCAGGAGTCTGGATTAAAGTCGTGCCGACGTGGCCGCGGTCACAACCCTCTGAGGACAAGTTTCAGTGAGGAGCTGAGGGATGAGTGGAGCATTAAACAAGCAAATCAGAAGTGAGGATGATACTGTCATGTGTTTACAACTACAATATCAGCGTGTCCACATGCCGGACCGTGCGGGTTCCTCTCTCACATTTGGTATTGCAGCGTCGGATTGCATAAGAGGCACGATGTTTCTTTTTTGATTGAGCGCAGTGGACTGAAAGTCCAGCGTCAATCGGCCGTTGATAAATGTGAGAGATTTAACGGGTTTCGTATAAATTTGGCCCAACGTAACTCCAAAGCTGGGAAATAAAATGACGGAGAGCAGGACGGCGAGGAGGGGATCCTGTTTCTTAGAATTAATGAGGTTGTTTTTTGGAACAGGATGTAAGACACGTCCAGAAAATCCACCCCACCTCCATGTTGTCCAATCAAACGTGGTTTCCAGTCCCGGGTTGCCTCTCTGCGGCTCTCAGCGAGTCGTCCCTGCGGCTCCGGGACAGCTCCGCGCATACATTAAATTAGCCGTAACAATGGAAAGGACAGTAAGAACCATGTTGTGATGGTGGCAAAATGATTAAGGCTTCATTAAACCCTCCTCTTCAGAAACCCACAGTTCCCTCGGGGCGCTCTAATCTTTTTAAAATGAACTGACATACGACTAACGGTCTGAATTTGAAGGGATTTTTAACGACAGTCACTTCAACATTACTTAATGAGTAGTTAAACTCCACCATTAGGCCGTTAGTAAAGTATGCACCAGTCTTTGGATTTCTCTAACATTTTGCACCTAAAGAAGGTCAGAATCCCTTTCAAGGGATTAAAAGGGACCGCAGAGAAGACATTTCTAGTTAAAATATTTACTTTGAATATGATATTTTTACTCGAAAAAAGTTTAAACCTCTTCCTCACTTCCTTTACGAGCCGTCTCACAGTCTAAACTCGTCATGGTACCATGTACCTCGCATCACTCGCTCGGAGCAGAAATAAGAGTCCAAATTCCAAAACGTGTCTCTACTTTGCAAAAATATTCAATGCCAAAATCTTTTCCTGGCGACTGTTACAGCGACGGGGCGTTAAATGGCTCATAATGAATTATTAACTGAGATTTGAATACCATTTATCATGTGCCATTTCAGCTGCAGTCACAGGTGAGAAATGGGGGGAAAATACGGGCGCATCCTGAAACGTACAAAGCACAGCTTCAGCCAGGCGAAGCCATTAAAACGTAAGATTACTGGCACAAATTGCAAGTGACAAAATAAACGAAAAAGGACTGGACAGCAGAAAAAACACTTTCATCTCAGGGGAGACTAACAGGAGCTATTTCATGTAAATTTCTGGTCGTCAATTTAAAAACCCTTTAGTCTTCATGTCCCGAAACAGACAAACATATTCGGGGGTTTCGATATATTTGCAAATCCTGCGCCTTCACTGTACCGAATCGGAAAGGCATTTGCTGCGTTTTGAAGGTAAATCCAATGTAGGAATGTGGATATTATTTTTCTCTGACAGGCTCTGTGAGCGTTTGCTCAGACAAATATGATGACGGAGGCCCTTCGAAGGAGCATTTTAGCGCGAGCATCTGGTATTTCAGGTTTAAAGGTTTGTAACGAGCAGTCTCAAGCTGTTCTTTCTACCCCACAGTCCCGCGAGCCATCACTCTCGCTTCGAGGACGCAGGCTTTTAGAGGTACTGTAAGTGCTCCGAAATACGATTTAGCTGTGGAGCTCAGCCCTTAGTTCTTCAGTGATTTCTGGTATTCCCTGCCATATTTATTCCGTTAACATGAATAAAATGCATTTACGGGGCGCAAACTGAGCAGCGGTCCGCCTGCCGCGCTCCAAATTATGAGGCTGTTATTTAGCGGCCCTTTCTCTGATGGTAAAGAGGGGAGAATGAAAGAGCCGCTGGATGCGTTTGCCATTGACTCTGACATTGGAGGAGAGATTGATTGCAGCGCTTTTGCCTTTGACACAAATGTATGTTTTTAAGCAAACGGGCGAAACATCAAGTCTGTCAGGAATATAAATGAGGGAGGTCCGATAGCAGACGCGTAGCACGCCAGGCTCACTTGAATCTATTTTAGTTCCTTTCACTGAGATCCAGTTGTTTTTTTACTTCTTTCACAGCCTGTGAGCGTCAGCAGTTGAAGGACCTTGGTGCATGCGTGTCTGTTTGTTTGTGTGTTTGAGGAACCGTATCTATCAGGCGTTCTGGCAGCACAGTGCCAAGTCGTATAAACTGAACCTCGGTCAAGAGGCTGCATCCCGTCATGAGCAATGACCATTATGGGCTCCTCTCGCTGGCTCCGCTCCTGCCTTTCACTTATGAAAATGTGACATCTCAAATTCTCCTAAGAGGCGGAAACCTCTGTCTTTGTAAGTGATGGTTCCATTTAGAGTGAAATAGACCATGAAGCATTTTTTGATTGCCACCAAATGTCTTCTTCGTCCCCGGGTCACTTCAGGTTCCCAAAACCAAGATGCAGAACTCCAGCCTTCAAAATCGGAGTTCAGAAACCAAAGGGCGACGTCTTACGTACAGCCTGGACTAGAAACACATGAGAATTCTCTAAACTCAACTAATTGATTAGCAAGTATCTGTTAAAGCAGCACGAAGAGGCACATTTCTGTTACAGACCTTCTCACCTTATGTACCACGTCGTATAGCCGGCACATCGGCACGATAAAACAACGCTGTCATACACCGCTCGGGTCATTTTCTCTGCGCTGTTAATTCTGCATTCTGCTGTTGCCAGATCAACATCTGCTACGAGACCGTCCATGATAATCACAAAGCTGAAGTCGTAGAAACTGTGAGCTATATCGTGCAGTGAACTCTCAGTTAGTGAATTCAGATTGCCTTGGTGAGCAGCGTAATGTCAAGGATTCAATTGTGAAATACGTAGCTCTTTGTGTACTATCTGCTCTTCTCACATTAAATTCACTTTTTTGTCCTAATTGCCCTCCGGTCCCTCCTCCCGTCCGTCTGGCAATTCTCTCCAGGCAAAGCTTCATGATACACAGTCGACATCGTGGGACATTTTGCGTCCACTAATTATCCGACCGACCTGAACATGCTGTTGCGTAACGATCAAATTATGTCAAAACGTTCTATATAACTGAATAAAGAATTAGATTTTTCTCGAATTACTCCAATATGTTACAGCTCTTAAAAAAAAAAACTGTCTTCATTCGCTTTTAAAACAAGTTTAGGGTTTGATTCCGCTTTCATGTGCTATTCCCAAGCTCAAGGGCCACTGGAGTGTTTTTCATTTTGTAGCACATCAGACAACACATGTTGAGTGTCGCCGCTATTCAGCCGGCCCGTCGCATCGCGTTTGATTGTATTGAGCAAGTAGCATAATGTTGTTTTTTCCCCCGGACAAGAGCGGTCTGTTGAGAGCGCGGTCACCGGGTGAGGACATTAGTTACCCCCTCCTCATTCACACGGCGAGCTCACGGGGGCCGAAGCCGTCTCCTAGCAACCGGCAACAAAGTTTAGGCAAATTCCTGTGTGTGGTCACGCTCGATCAAAGCGGCGGATGATTTACATTTTTTTTTTTTTTCAATCAGAGCAACAAAAACACACTTTTGTCAGATTAATTAGATACAGAAATGATGCTGTACACGGAAAACAGGTGTCGTTTCCCTCCTTCTGCTGCTCTTGGTCTCTGTTGCAGGAAATACGGTGACGTGGGAGGTAA